GGAGTTGAAGCCGTATTACCATTGGAGATTGAGCTACCGTCACTCCGGGTAGCAATCCAAAATGATCTCACTCAAGAACAAAATACCCGTCTCAGAATGGAAGAGCTCGATGCACTTGATGAACTCAGGTTACAAGCTCAACAAAACCTAGAAATCTACCGAGGAAGAATGACAAAGTCCTTTGATAGAATGGTGCGTCCTCGGACCTTTCAAGAGGGGGAATTGGTCCTGGTGCTGAGAAGTTCAATCATTCCACATCGAAAAATTGGTGGCAAATTCGTATCAAATTGGGAAGGCCCCTTCGTCATTGAGAAAGTATACCAAGGAGGAGCATATCAGCTGATTGATCTGAACGGTCAGAGACCTATGCCACCTATCAACGACCGACATATAAAGAAGTACCATGCGTGAAAATTTCATGACTATTGTATTTTGTGTGATCAAAATTTTATATGCATATTTATCAATGCATGTTTGCTTATGTTTTGAAATTCTCTTGTATACCAAGAACGCATTTGAAAATCCCTCATCAGACTGGGGGCATTTTAAATATTTATTCGAGTCGACATCGCGCTGCGTACCGAGATTTTCGAATAAATATTTAAAATCTCAAAGATACAAAGCCTATCCAAAATGTCCCTACGAGACAGGGGGCATTTTAAATATTCATTTGGGTCGATATCGTGCTATATGTTGAGATCCCCAAATGAATATTTAAAATCTTATATTCCGAATCTATTCCATTCTGAAATGTCCCTGCAAGACAGGGGGCGTTTTAAATATTTATTCGGGTCGACATCGCGCTACATTCCGAGATCCCCGAATAAATATTTAAAATTATCAATTCAAATATTCTTTTGTGCTAAAAGAATACAAATATTTATTTTTCAAAGTATTAGTTAATTACCCCTCCCGATCACGAGAGAGAACTTTCGATTAAGGCTAGTCGTCGATCAGATACGTAGAATATACGTGTTATTTGGCATATAGTAGCAGCAATGGGTTTAGGTATTGGTAGAAATTGGATTTGGGTTTGTGAATTTGGGAAGTTTGGATATTTGGAAGATTTGGTATTTAAAATAGAAATTTTCACCATCTAGCACTTAAAGCGGATGGTGGGGGAATGGATGATGGGCCTGATCAAGATCCCATGGTTCCGTCGTCCCGGACCATCGTGGTCCCTGGTCTACTTAATCAGAGGAGGTAGTCGACCCAACCTGACAGAAGGATCCTTGTCGGCAGCCATGGGTTGCTTCGTCCAAGGGGACCTTGTAGACCGGGGTTGAATGTTTGTCTAAGGGGACGAATTTAAATCCACCTTATGCAGATGATCTTTCATGAATTAGAGACACCGTCTTCTCTAACAAACCAAGGCTCAAAGGTCAGGAAAGTGACTTTTGTGACTACGCACTCCTACAAAATTAAGCTGAAGAAGCTTGAAGTCTTTCAACAGCCTGAAGCTTAAGATTCGAATGGGTGTAAAAGGTTGGATCCAACACGCCCAAATATGGCCGGATCGCTGGCAGCTCCGTCTACTCAACAAGCCATAAGAAAGGCCGTAGTAGCGGAACCCCCACTTCGTCAACCCGTCAGTAGGGACTGTAGGAAGTACGAAGGAAAATTTGACTCGACAAGTTCAAGTGATCGTAGTCTACAAAATTCTCCTAAGTGACTCGAGAATCAAAGTTCTAGTGAAAGGATGAGTCTCGAACGTCTACCAAATTTTCGTAGGCTCCAAAATCTGCAACCACAAAGGATGAGGGCTTGCGCCTATAGGAAACCAGAACTCAGATCATAAAGTCCTCACAAAATAAGGGCGAAATCTCTGGGTAGTGTCTTATCTACAAACCCTTCTGCCTTCCAAAATTTACCCCGGAACTTATTCAGTTAAAACTCCCTCGCCGGATAAAAGAAAAGCGGCGGGGAGGCCGGGGCCGAATTTTCAGAGCCCACACTCCTCTCCGAATAACTCTTCATTGAGCAATACTGTAAGTACCTACTGTCTTGTGGTGGCATCGTTAATATTGTACCAATTATTCTTCCGCTGAAAATACTCAAGAGTATGATTGAGGGAAACTCAAGGAGACCGTTCTAATTGTTAACCTGTGGGTTCTTGTGATTAGCAAATTAAGCATTTAATATTTTTCATTCTTATTTTAATTTCTCCCTACTCTTTATTGTAACTGCATGCTATTATAAGATCTCTAATTGAGGCATCCTAGAATCTAATCATGTGAAACATTAAAATTTTAATTAGCAAGCTTAATAACTTTTTATAAATTCCCCCTCAATTCTTGCGTCTGCTGCATGTTTCACATCACAAAATCTTCAAATTATGTGATCCTTGGGCTCTATGTTAATTGAATATCCTATTAGATAAAACTAAGAAGTTGAAAATTTTGAGTGCAATCAAGGTGGCAGACAATGCCTTTCACATATTTGGAAGGAGCTAGGGCTACTAGAAATCAATATTCAAATATAGAAGAATATGAGATGGAAATAATCAATAATAGAATAAGAAAATTATTTCAAATCAAGGTTCATTTATGGATTGTTGTATGGAGGTGGACAACTGCCCAAGCCTAATATGGTCCTGATATTCTTGACAATCCAATTGTCCTAGCTGGATCTTGAGAGATTGAGACAACATGATTGCCCAGTCCAAGAAAGGGAAAAATCAATCATGCGCCAAATCAAATATCTTAATTTCCTAGTTACTTATTTCCATAAATAAGAGAATAATATTATTAAGTTATTTTCCAATATTTTGCTAACTATTTTTTCTATTTCTCTTTTATAGCCAATTTACACCTTCCCCATTTTGGTCCATTAATTTAGTTTTGCAACCTTTATATAAGTTGTACTTTGTTATTGTCACAAGCCAACCCAATATGAATAGACATAGTAGGTCAGATCATGCTGGATGGTGACAGACCAAGTCCAAGAACTAAGTTTTGAAGACTTTTTAAATTTTTTTAATTTAAATCAGACTACAGAACTATTATTTAACCTCTAATTGAACAGAAAGTAAACTCATCCACAAATTTTTTTTCATTCATCTTCAAAATGTATATACAATAAAGTCTATACACTACAGTACATGGCTACAGACTCAATATAAAATAAAGCAAAATTAGCCATGATTGTACAAAATTTATAAACCAGAATATACTTATACCAACTCAGACTGATCAGAACCTGCAACCTCAGCTGCTGAATTGGCTCTTTACCATTTTCCTGATCTGAAACAAAATGCAAAATAAGTGTGAGCTAACACAGCTCAACAAGTCATATCTACCGATCTAAAATTTTAATAATTAACTCATTATGCATTTAACTAATTAAAAACTGTTAATAGCTGTTGACCCCTACACATCAAACCATGCGCAAAAAGGGTAAAACCGACAAATCAAATCACACGAGGCGTCACTTGAAGATCAAACGACCTCGATTATCAAATGGACTGCGCCGTTACAATTAGGATGTCGAGTTTGCCTAAGTGGGGATCCCTCGCAGTCAAATCGGATGAGATCGGTCCAAAGGGATGGCTGATACACGATATTGATGTGCAATATCGGTAAAACGATGTCCGATCGCAAAATGGATTTTGTTATTGAGTTTGGAACGTCGCCGACACCCAAAAATCACTATCAACTTGTTCAAATGGATTCATCCGGTGAAATCAGCACAAAGCTCAAGGCAACGCGCACAAATCGAGAAAATTGCTGCGCGACGTTGCCTAAACGACGTCCGATCGCTAAACGGACTTCGCCACTATGTTCGGAATGTTGGCAATACCCAAAAAACGGACTTCGCCACTTTGATAATTTGTTGGATGATGGTTTTTCCCCATGCTTGTTCATCTCTGATATCATTAGTTTTAGATGTTGGGGCTTTTCATATACCTCAAGATCTATGCTTGTATTAAATTTGTCAGTCTATAGTGGGTCCTTTTACTTATATCATTTATTCTCTTTGTGCTATTACAATTGTGTTCACCAATGGTATACTTTATTGTTCAATAATGGAGTTTATTGTCATGAGAAACTCCATTACTGAACAGTAAAGTATACCATTGGTGAACATAATTGTAATATCATGATTAGAGAGAGGTTGAAGTAGCTCCAGTGGAAGATAAGATTAGAGAGAGTCACTTTGGATGTTTTGGTCACATAAAACGGTGGCCCTTCCGATGGCCTGGTTATGAAAGTAGACGTATTAGATTTGGCTTATGTTAAGAAAGGTAGAGGTAGACCTAAAAAGTCTTGGTTAAAAAATATTAGAAATGACATTTCTTTATTAGATTTAAATAAGAATTTGACTCTTAACATGACACAATGGAGAAAAAAGATTCATGTAGGCGACCCCATGTAGTGGGATAAAGACTGTTGTTGTTGTTGTAATGGAGTTTATTTATGATTCAATCTCACTATAGCTCAAGACCCTATTATAAATTTATCTGATTTAATGGATAAAAGGTTTCAGCTATTATTTTCTTGTCAAAGAACTAATAAGAAAAAGTCTTTCTCTATTTTCCTAGATTTACTAGACTTCAATCTAGATGTAATTGCTTCTCTAATAATTTTGGCATTATAGACTTAGCAGTTGTGTAAATGTTGTCATATTCCCTACTATTGAATAGACATTACTCACTTCATTTTAGATTAATGTGATATAATGTATTTAGTTTTTTTTTTAATGATGGCGGTCCTATGTAATTGATAGTTCATGTAATCTTTTCATTGACTCATTATAAAATTTTTGATTGTTAAAAAAAAAAAAAAAAAAAAAAAAAAAAAAAAAAAAACTAACCAACGCACAATTATGGTATTAATGCCAAGAAGAATTACTTTTAGGTTTAAGAGAGTTGATGAGACTTAAGCCGCTAAATTTCTGTTATCTCATCTTATGAAATGGCTGGTCTTGCTTTAGGTTGATCTTTTTGTGATTTGTAATTCTTCCACAATTCCATTGGATTTCTCAGTCTTATTTGCTTTCAGATCCGCAGTCATGCTCAAAAATACTTCTTGAAGGTTCAGAAGAATGGGATAATGGCACATGTACCCCCGGCCCGTCCAAAAAGAAATTCTACTCATCCATATCCAAAGAAACCTGATGATGGTTTTCTCTTTCCTTTATTTTGATTAGGACTTCTTACAAGTTATATTAAAATGATAATATATGGAGACCGACCAACAATTTTCTTCTGCAGATCCAACAACTCTGCAGCTGCAGTCATCTATGATCTTCCCATCTGCATCCACTGGTCTTATTGTTTCGTCTTCCAGTTGGGATGATCCATCTTTCCTGAGGGATTACACCTCCAATGATGCAATGTCCTCTTCAAATTACTACAATGCCCTCTGTGGAGTTGAATGTATTATCTTATATATTTTATCTATATCATGGTAGTTCACCACAGTCACATTAAGTCTGTGATTTGGTAATATAGGTGATAATGGAACACTGGGCTTGACAAATATCTATAACCACAATGTTAGTTGGACTGGCAGTTCAAGCACATCACAGGTTACTTCTGAAGCACCAGAGCAAGGGAGTCGACAATCATTTCATGCTGGTACTCTTTTTATTTCCAATTTCTTTTTTAATAATTTCTTATGGTTATTTGAAGTACTAGGAGAAAGTTCTTATTGGTATTGCTACAAGGTTCTGTGATCATCTGAATGAATCATTTTTTTGGGAAGACTATGCTCACTTTGTTGTTGTTTATCACTAGGAAAAAAAAACTTAAAGAATAAGAAAAAGCATGAATCCTAGTACTGTTTGCATAGCGTTGACCCTACTCCACCCCTCTTTACTTGCACCGCCCCCTGTACGACTGCATGCTGTATCAGATTGAATGGTGTTTTTTCTCTCCCTTTTGGTAGGATTTCCATTGCTCTCGATTTCTAGTTTGGAACATAAAGTTTATCATTCAAACTCATTCTATGACTTTGTGGTGATAATTTCTCAAGGCATTTCATTTGGATCTTGAGCATCAGTGAACCAAATGTGAGATATACCACTGCATCTTAATAAATTATTTGTGTTTAGGTCTCTCTGTTTCTTAGTTCATCTGAATGTTTTGTTTGAATTGCAAGAATCTCTCTCTCTCTCTATAGATAAAAAGGAGATAGTTTATATAGTGAATAATACCCCTAAATAGGTAATTGAGTTAATGGCTCGATCAACAGAGGCTTAACTTGACGCCAACATACTAATAGATGGATACCCGTCTACCCAAAAGAATAAACTATTGGGTTAAGGACACTACAACTATACTAGAACCTTATCTCTTGTTTAAATTTTGATGCAGACTTTATCTTATATGTATATTGACAATTTTTCACTCATCTGAGCACCCTCAACATCATATATTACTCACTTCGTATAGGTAATATCTTCAGATCTTCAAGGCAAATACAATTGCCGCCAACTCCAAATCATGAGTAGGATAATTCTTCTCATTTAGCTTCAATTGCCTAGATGCATAAGCAATCACTTTCCCATTTTGTTGCAACATGCACCCCAAACGTTATAAAGTAGCATCACTGATTACTTAGAATCTTCAACGCCTAATTGAATAGTCAGTGTAGGAGCTGACACTAAACAATCCTCAACTTCTAAAAACTAGCTCCACACTCCGGTTTTCAATCAAATGACACAAACGTTTGAGTCAATCGTGTCAAAAGGATTGCAATTTATGAAAAGCTTCTAACAAATTTCCTATAATAGCCCATCATGCTCAAAAAACTATGAACCTCTGACACTGAAGTGGGCCTGGCTAGCCCACCATAGCTTGTACTTTTTGAGGATCTAGAAATATTCCTTCTTTGCTTACGACAAGTCCAAGAAACACCAAAGACTTCATCCATAATTCATACTTCAAAAATTTTACATATAATTCATCCTTCTTTGCTTATGCCGATAGTCTCAAGACAACGCTCTAATACCAGTTTGATAGGAAATACTTGAGTTCACAGGTAACCCTAATGGGAAATAATTAAGTTCGCAAGCAACCCTAACAAGAATTGGTGAAAATAGCAAGAAAACTTAAAGATCTCCAATGAAAACAATCCAAAAACAATAGATTGTATTATAGGAATAAAACCAAAGGCATGAACAAGCAAAGATACAATTGATCCTCAATTCGAGAGAAGGATCGTTCTCTCCCAATCTCTAGAAAATGAATCTAGAGCCCAAAGCCACCAAGAGAACTCCAAGAGAAAACAATAATCATGCATAAACCCTAACCCTAACTTCTCATGCTTTTAAATAGCCCCACCTCCTAAAAAAAGTTTCCTAATATAAAACAAATTCAAATTGGCCTCCTCATGCTTAAACCGCCCTCTCTCTCTCTCTAATTACCGCCCAAATAGGGGGGCCCACTTGCTTAGGCGGTGGCTCCTAAAGGAGGTGGCTTAGCCCGCCTCCCATAAGTCTGAACCGGCCCCTCCTGGGCCAGTTTGAGCTGAACCGTAACAATACCTTATTTGGTTTGCATAGGAAGTCGAACCCAAAAAATGCCCTAAAGATGATGGACAAATGAACTTTTTGTTTCTTCACTCCAAAATATATGGGTGTAGTATATTCAGGTTCTTGAGCATTAGTAACTAACGTGGTAAGTCAAGTTTGATGGAACAGAGGTAGAGACTCCAGATCAACTGTAGTTGAGAAGAACGATGATGTCATACATTATAAGCTAAAATGTCTACCTGTGCCTTCAGTCGAAGCACCTCTTGGCTTAGGCTGTCATTTGTCCTTTTTCCATCATCAACTACAAATTTTGGAGAAGTTAATCCACCAATGGTTGGTGTTGGTGTGGTAGAACGAGGAGGGCTAGGCCTTCTAGATATAGGTTAAGTTGCACGAGAAACAATTCTTGATCCAGGAACAGAGACTGAGAAGAATTTCTTTGATGTTCCAAATACTGGATTGAAAGATTTAGAGAAGTTAAGAGAGCCCCAATTTGAGCATGCATTTGGTATTGGAGAAACACGACTGCTGCTAAATTCTAGCTTCTTGTTTCTCTTAGATCTACCATCCATACTCCTTAAAGATTCTAATGATGAATATTTGGAGGTTTGTTCTTGAGATTTTGAATCAATCTTCTCCTCCTTATCAACCACATCATTGAGGTCCTGAATGGTACCTCCTTTCCTATTAGCTGCAGAATGAGATGATGAATCATTCTCAAATGCCTTCATTAGCTTGTTGAAGCAGCTATCACAAACACGATAAGGTTTGTTAGGATTGGGAGCCATTGAAGCTTTAAGAGATTTTTTACTACTGCAAGAATGACAGAATACGAGGGCACAGTTGTAACAATTGTGACGTTTTCTTTTAAAATTAAATGGAAGCCGACAGCCTGAGCACATGGACTGATCCACGCCAGAAATCCACTTGTGAATACAAATAGCCGCTGTAAAATTAGTTCCGCATACAACACTTCTAACTTGTTTGTCTTTCAATGCTTCAACCAGTGTTGGGGTGCTTCTATCATCAGTATCCCCATGGCCTAAACGGCCACTTGCGCCTTTACCCCAAGTATAAACTTCAGTTCCTGAAGTCAAAACCGCAACATGATAAGCACCGCAAGATATTTCCTTCACAAAGTTTTTCGAGAGCTTTCCTTCAACACGTACAGGGACCTTTCCATCTGCTTGGGGGCTTCCAAGTTGACCATAGACAGTACTTCCCATGGTGTAAACCTGGCCTGAAGTTGTAAGGGCAACAGTCAGGCTGTGGCCACAAGCAACTTGGCAAAAGTTTGGATCAACCACAGCAGCAACACAAGTAGGCACGAGTTTGGGTTCCTTGTCACCATGCCCAAGACGACTTTTGTCTCCATCTCCCCATGTAAATAGTTTGCCAGAAGAACAATTGCTAGAACTTGAATTTCCCACCATAACTTCAACAACTGCAGCAGTGTGCCAACACCACAAGCTGCTCTTACCGTGCGTTACCGTGCGTAAACCCTTCAGAGATTCTACTTTCCTTGGTATCGAAACACTCTTTCAGTCTCCATGACCAAGAACACCAAAAGTTCCATCTCGAAAAGTAAATAACTGTCCAGCAGATGTGACAACGGCAGTATGCCAAGGTCCACAAGAAATATATGAGACATGAATACCTTCAAGAGGACTGTTTACCCTTTTTGGCACCCAGTGGCTCACTTCATTTCCGTGACCAAGAAGCCCATAATTGAAAGTACCATCACCCCATGTGTACAAGTCGCCAGACAGAGTAACAGCACAAGTATGATACTCTCCGCATGCAACAAGTTCAATGCTCATATTGACTAGAGCATCAATGAGCTTAGGCTGTGATACATCAGAGTCCACTCCATGTCCGAGCCTTCCTCCAGATTCTTCACCCCAAGAGTAGATCTTTCCTTGTTTAGTAACAAGCGCAGCATGTTGTCCACCACAAGAAATATTCTGAACATCAAGAATCAAAGCAGATTCCAAGGCTTTTGGAATCAGAGAGTCCATTTACTGCTAGATCAGCTTCCAACTCTATTGTTTCCTCCACCTAAAATTCCATCCCCTATTCCTTCTCCCCATAAGAAAACATCGCCTAAAGCATCACCATCATCATGGCCAGATCCTTGACTTGATGAACTCACAGCACTTGATAGGCTAACTCTAAATGCATCCATATTCATACCCCTCATGTTCCCATTTAAACTATCTTAGCATCCAGATGACAAAGAGTGAACTGAAGCAGAAGCAGAGTCCGTAGGGAAAAAACCCTTTGGAGGAACAGCATATACTGCACCAGGGAATGACTTATCCGAACCATTTTTTGGTGGACTATCATATGGGCTCCGAACTCGCAAGGGATCACTTCCATCCTGAGTTGAATTAAAGACTAAGGATGGTCATTGATAATAACAAGGTACAATAAAGTAAAAGAATTATAAATAACCTACAGTACCTTTTGCATACTATCAGTGCTACCAAAAGGAGAACTTAAAGGTGAACTTCTCCTGGTATTAGTCCTTGGACTATGTGTTCCAGACGATACTCCATCACTCCTTGATTCGGTCCTCCATTTCCGCTGATGGCTGCGCAATATCAATGTTTTCAGACCAGCAAACCAAACTTCAGCTTCATCTTTATCTTTGCATATCTGGCATACAAGCAAAAACACCACACAATATCTAGGATTATATAATGATAGAGATCAGTTAAGTGAGCCAATTTCAACTAATAATTTCATAGGAACGTAGCAAGAAGTCCCAAAATAAGTAATGCTTACAAGATCCAGGGACATATCACTATAGATAAGAGAAAAAGATTGGCATTCCTTCTCAGGCCGAGGGTATCTCTGAAAATTGCCTGAAGATATCAATGTAAAAAGTGACATTCATAAATCAATTTAGTACAACTTCAAATCTGAAGAATGCAAATAAAAAGATATGTAGTAGGAATAGGGAGCCGCAATAGGGAAATCGAAACAATTGAACTTTCAGATTATTCAACAAGATTAGACTTTTCCAATGCTTGAAGCAATATAACTAACTCTGCTTTAAACATCAACTATAGCTAATTCATATAAAATGATTTAGCAAGG